TATTGCTTGACTCTGATGGTGCAACGAGATACGTGCCTCCTCAAGGGTGTGCATCGTCTTCCTTTAATCTCGACACATTCTTCTGTTTGAAAAAACCTAACAAAGACACGTAATGAACATGTCAACACTGTTATTCAACGAATGTGACGTCACATTCGTTTTATTGTGAATCGTGTCACGTTCGTTTAAATGTTGTGTCACATTCGTTTAAACGTGAATCGCCCAATGCCTGGTGCTATTTGAGCATAAATTCACGTGCAGTCACGTTCAAATGAATGTGGCACAATATTCAAACGAATGTGACACGTTTCACATCGAAACGAATGTGACGTCACATTCCTTGAATAACAGTGAATGTTTTTGCCTTGTGCGCTTTACTTAGCAGAAGAAGAATATTTTTTTTTCCTTTTTTGAGCGTCGCTAAACGTGACGTGGTCATTATATTATCGCGCGACGAAGATGTTAAGAGGGGCTGTTGACTGCTGTGTAAAGTGTCAGTACACTGATATATAAAGTGTGCAACTGACACACACTTTAAAGTGTTTAACACCGTGTGGCATACTTCTATGTGTGCAACACGAGTTTTGAATAGTTGGAAGTGTTCAACAGGTTGTGTTGCACACTTTTAAATGTTCAACATGACCGTCGAGCACTATAGCTAAACGCTCAAGTTGAACGCCAAAAAGTGTGCAACACACCTGTTAAACACTTCCAACTATTCAAAACTCGTGTTGCACACATAAGTATGCCACACGGTGTTAAACACTTTAAATTGTGTGTCAGTTGCAAACTTTATAATATCAGTGTAGATTTGGCATCTATAGTTGTGAATTGAAAATTTGGAGAATTTATGAGGATTTGTGAATTTTAATCGTGGGCTGGGAGGTTTCGGATGTTTTTGGTAACTCATGCTTTTGCTCTACGACCGCGTAGTGCAATAATTGACATGAGAAAAACAAAAACAAAGGAATTACACGTAAAAACTGGGTCTGTCTGTGTGCCTGGATGTGGGTGAGTGTGTGTAACTACCTCTAACAAGGCACCGATAAGTGACTTGTGCGTAAATGCTAATAGCAGCCCAACCCCCATTCTTAGCTGACGACGAAAACCGGCTCGGCCGACGGCGTGCCGCATTTTCACACTCCTTCCTTACATTTCCAAAAATAATTGGTCTTTTAGTTGTTGTGTCAAGACTTATATTTTCTATTTTCGTCACAACCTTGGCTTGGCTTAGATTCAATGACTGCCGCGCCTATCGTCTGGGGATAATGTGAACATAATGGAGGGAACGGGAAGCGAAGAGCGCAGTGTTTGACACGTCAGGAGCATTTTAACAACGATTGTGCCCGGAGGATAATTTAATATTCATCATGT